GGGGGGGGCTTGATGGCAATGACAGGAGGTGCGCTCTCGTTGGCAGCTCCATTGAACTTCAAATTTAGCAAATTCTTACAAAATTTTGGTAAAATTAAAAATTGGCAAAAGCAATTTTGCAGCAAAATCAATTTCCGCTCCATCCATCTTCTCATCCTTAGTCTCCACCCTGTCAGGACATACTTTGAAAACTGCGCTCCCCCTTTTTACCGCCAAGGTTGCAAAGTGAACAAACTGTTTCATTGTATCATTTATAGCACGGCGTGTTTGTTGCTTTCCTCCAACATATTCTTCTCTCTACATGTCCATCGCTTAAAAGACATTCTGCGAAAGTTCCATGGGAATTCCTTTCATCCCATTAAAAAAAACATTCGCTAAATATTGACATTATCGCATTAGTAGGAACAGATGTATCATAAAATGGAGGAAATGGGTCATAAAGAAGTTCTGCTTGTGACTGCGTGCTTTGTGAGCTGCCAACACGGCTATCATTATGTTCCGTTGCAGTTTTTGGTGCTTGTTTACGCGATCAGTAGGCTGGAACATATTGACTTATAAACAAGCCATAAAGGCATCAAAAATACACTCAAGGGTCCCGTTTGATACTATTTCGGTCCCTAACGTTGGTCAACATGCATGTCAACCATGAGGCTCATTCACACATTAAAGGAGAACATTGGTCAGAAATCAAAAAGATTATTATTATTATGCAGGATTTATATAGCGCCAACAGTTTGTGCAGTGCATTATAATATAAGGAAGACATTACAATCACAATACAATGCAAGACAAGATGGTAAGGAGTGCCCTGCCCCTGAGGGCTTGCACTCTAAAAAGGAGGGGCCAGTGATACATGAGGAGGTAGCTGTGTGGGGATGAATTGTTTGAGAAAGTGATAGTTCAGTGGTTAGGTTGAGGTGGGATAGGCTTCCCTGAAGAGATGAGTCTTAAGGGATCGCCTAAAGGCAGTCAGTGTGGGAGATAGACGGACAGGTTGGGGTAGAGAGTTCCATAGGATGGGAGAGGCTCTAGTGAAGTCCTGGAGGTGAGCATGGGAGGTGTTGACGAGGGAGCTGGAAAGCAGGAGGTCTTGGGAAGAGCGGAGGGGACAGTTAGGGTGATACTTTGAGACAAGGTTTGAGATATATTCGGGGGCGGAGTTGTGAATGGCTTTGTAAGTGACTGTTAATATTTTGAATTTTATCCTTTGGGCGAGTGAAAGCCAGTGGAGGGATTGACAGAGGGGGGTGGGGGATAGAAGCCAGTGCAGGGATCCACACTGTTTTTGTTTTTGTTTTTTATTTTAATGTTTAACAACATAAGTTCATTCCAAATGGCATTTGTAAAAAAATTCAGATGTATCCGAACTTTTGTTACTGGAAAATTCGGATTCACTATCCATCCAAATGTCCGAATTTCCCCAAATTTGTAAGATTTTCAATTTCGAAATGAAACGAATCGCACGTGTCCTATGGGGATGCATTAGAGCTGTGAAGTCATTGTGAGTTTTACAATCTGATGTAATCTATATGTAGCAACTGTACACGTCTGCATGAATGCATTCATTACATGTCACACTGTACAGGGAGAGTATACGTTACAAAAACAATATACACACACACACATGTTTCCCTCTGTATAGATGGGTCTTACTTTTATTGAAACAATGACACACTGGCACTTGAGGGTCCCAGAGCAATGACACACTGGCACTTGGGGGTCCCAGAACAATGACACACTGACACTTGGGGGTCCCAGAGCAATGACACACTGACACTTGGGGGTCCCAGAGCAATGACACACTGACACTTGGGGGTCCCAGAGCAATGACACACTGACACTTGGGGGTCCCAGAGCAATGACACACTGACACTTGGGGGTCCCAGAGCAATGACACACTGACACTTGGGGGTCCCAGAGCAATGACACACTGACACTTGGGGGTCCCAGAGCAATGACACACTGACACTTGGGGGTCCCAGAGCAATGACACACTGACACTTGGGGGTCC